AGCAGGCCCGTTCATGCATCTCGTTGAGGAAGACGACCCACTTGGGTCATTTTAAGAATCTATTACAGTTAAGAGATTGTGGATTTTGCTTTTTGAGACGTTGGTGTCACACTGTGTACGAAGGCTCCTAAAGATTCAGATTCTGCCTTTTTTTTGCTTTAATTTGTGTAAAATGAGTTTTCCTGACAAATAATTCATTAGCATATTTCCGTTTTACAGGTTTTTAGAAGTAAACATGTAGCTTCATGATAGTAGTTCAGATTTACTTGATTGCAGTTTCAGTATTTTGTGGCGCCGTACCTTTTAGGATGCTAATAGTGTGCGTTTACATACTCAGCGCCGACGTTGTTAGCCTGTTGGAGTAACTCACGACTGGTTTGAAGACTCGTACACATCAGCTGACCGTCTGTGACGCACCGAGCGCGTTTCGCACTTCTGTAGCTGTGTCGTCATAGCGACGCACAGATGTGAAGCGTTTTCGAGCACGTCTTCCCAGCTTTAATCGATGTCCATGTGGTTAAACTCTTACAGTAAAGGCCTGACTCTGGTGAAGTAATCGCTCACAGCGAACATCTTGTCCGCATTATTTTTGAGTTATTTTGTTTTTCTTTAGTAATACAGCGCAGACTTTTCAAATCAGTCTGCACTTCTAATTGCATTACCAGGAAACGATAAATTAACTTTGACCAAGAAAATAAAAAAGTAGAAGCGGACACCGCGTGGTGAATTTATACAGTGAAAGACTAAAACGGCCCAGCATGCTTTGAAAACAGCTGACAGTAATGTAAAGTGTGTCTGAATTGCAGTAATGGGCTAACACGCACACACACAAAGAAAGCCCTGCGATTTAATGCTTTAGGGTCTGATTCTAATATAAGTATATCTGTGTTACATTTACAAATTTGCCTGCCACCAGTCTCCATTCCTCCTAAAGCTGCTCTCTGTCTAGAAGGCTCTAGGGCCTGCTGAGCCAGGCTGACTGAGACGGGTAGCTAGCAGCATTGATCTGGCTGCAGTAGCCAGGGGAATATAAAGCAGGGCAGGGGCTTAAAGTCCTGAGCCCCCCCCATCCTACCCCCAGGGAGGAGTCTTCGCTGCATAGGGAGAGGGCCATGAACTGCAAGCTGCTTCTCATTCCCTCCTTTCTTTCCTCGCCTCCCTGTGCTGTTGCATCCATCCTCCTCCACCTCTTCCTTCCTTCTGACATTCACTTTGTCACTCTCTCCCTCTGACTCCTTCCTTTTCTCCTCCACCCTCATTCCTTCTCTGCCTTCATCCACATTTCTCTACAACACTTGTGCTTGTCTGCCTCCATCTGTGTGCAAGAATATGGGAAAGTGAATGTTACTCATGGAGTTCACGCTCGAAACGAAACACGTGGCCGACGCTGACTTTAGCATGTAATCTGCATTTTTCTTTCCTCGCTGTGATCCTGAAAACCCCGCCCTCCTTTTTAGCAACCGCCCAGAAGAAGAAGGTGCACAGGTGTGTGTGTGTGACAGCCAGGCCCACACATTGTGATCTGTTCCACATCAAACCTCTCAGCCCCCAGTGTTTTGCTCAGCCATATATAGCTACAATTACTTCTAAAGAAATTAGGGTAGAGCTGGAATAAAAGAGAAGTTTAGGTCTGTTTTTTTTAAAGTAGAAATGTAAGAGTGTCGCCCTGCTCTCAAAGTTTGTTGCTCTTCCCTCCTGTACCGCGCTGTTCTGTGGGGGTGCAGTGCAAAGCTGCACAGTGCTGCTGCGCGCTGTTGTAGTGTTGTGGTGCAGTGATAGCGCGCTCGTCCGCTGGGGGAACCCAGAGCATTCTGTCTCACTGAGTGATACCCCTGTCTCCACTCACGATAAACAGCACACACAGACACACACAGACACGCACACACAGACACACACAGCAGTGTCTGCCAAGCCCAGCCTAGCAGCAGATTCTTCCCTCACACCCGCCTCCCCCTCTCGCAAAGCTGCAAATATATTAGCTGCCTCTTTTTCTTTTGTCTTGGGAAAATGGCAAGTGGGGGTGTCTACATGTGTGTGCGGTTGCGCACGTGTGTGCTTAGTGTACTAAGAAACTGTGGCAGAACATCCCCTTTGTGCCGTTGGTGTTTAGATATCCCTGTGGTATAGGGCCCAGTCATGGTGAGAGAGCTGCAGATGCCTTAGTTCCCTGTAATGCAGGTATGATGTAGGAAGAAGAAATACAGACTGACAGATGAGGCAAAGGAAGATTGCGAGCTGAAAATCACATACAAGCAGTCGATTTCTTTGGTTAAAACAGAAAGAAATATTGGAACAGCAGCACTGTTGGGCTCGGCATAAAGGGTCGATTCAAACACACACACTCGCACGCACACGGTGCATTTTCCTCCTCTTATTTCTTTTGGTTCCCAGCCAGCTCGACTGTCCAAGTGAAGACTTCTGATAGTGAAATCTGCAGAATATCCTCTACAGTGGGGACACCGATTCCTCGTCTGTTTCAAACGATTTCAACAAAACAAACATAAATAAAAAATTTCACACAAAATGAGCCTTAAAAGCAAAAGATGTTCGAAAGTCCCGCCCCTAATATTTAACATGACAGTTTTCATGAAGAAAACATCCATTTACTTTGTTTGCAGATGGAGGCAGAAATGTGTGGCTATGGTTACCACAGTTACCTAAATGACAGTTTAAAGGGACACTTATCAAAAAATGTTCTATATTTAATAGTTTCTACACGAGGGACGAGATGGTGTCATTGACAGAAGTGACCATCGGTGCTAACGAGTCAGAGTTACACCGGCGTATCGAACTGAAGCCTGAATGGACGTGCACCAATTCACTGACTGTCGGCTAAAGCGAGCAGCTACGCTCTTATTTTAATGAGCACAACAAACATTCCCAAATCTTTTTCTTCTAACCAGAAAATCTTTCGGATTTGGACTGTGTGCAAACTGCTGCCACCTCATGACAAACTGTGGTTGGAATAAAGAGCAAATCAATTATTGGAAAACAACAGATGAATGTTAAAATACATGTATGATTGAAAAAGGAGAGACGACTTCTTCTCTGACATCAGAAACCATATTTCAGGATGTGCCGCACAATCCTCGCCTGTCCACTCGGTGTAAATGCTAAAGACAGCAGCAGTGTCTCCATGCTGTCTGAGACTTAATGAATATGAGAGAGAGATGGATATATATAAAGATAGAGGGGAGCGAGAACATGCCTGCTGCTTTTATGTCATATCACACATGCACAGACGCATCACTTCCTCGTGGTCCTGCGTGAGATCAGAGTCGCAGCAACCCCTCAGCTGCCACTCAAACACAGATACCTGGTGTGGGCGGGGCTGCGACGGCTCAGAAATCTGGCAAGTGGAATGTTTTTATTTGCAGGAGAACGTGTGTGTCTTTGCCCGCGTGTGTGTGTCTGTTTGGCTGTGTGTGCCATATGCGGTGCGCCTGGGAGGGCTCTCTGCAACATATTGGTGTGCGTACGTAGTGGTTAATAATAGCAGCAAGCACATACAGCGATGGCAGCTCTGATGTGTGTGACAGTTTTACAGCCGCGCACACCCAGAGACGGTAACGCACGTGTGTGTGTACACACGTATGTACACGTGTACACACACACACACACACACACACACACAGAGACCTCACTGCCACTGAACCCTTCGTCTTTGCTGAGCTCTCGATTTTATCACAGATCCTGATGAGTAAAAACAACCACTTCCCACCCACCGTGCCTCGCCCTCAGCCCCTCCCCTCATCCTCCATATGTGGGCAAATACAAACATATAGCACAGTTAAACACACACACACACACACACACATACACACACACACACACACACACAAATGTGGAGTCTTAACCACCCTGGAAGCATGCAGCCGCTCACATAGGTCGTCCTCTCAAAACGCACGCCCGTTCAGCTCATTGTAGCTGTGGGAGTGTTTGTGCTGTGCCAGGTGGCAAGTTTAAGTTTTGATGGGGGGGGTCAGCGACTGCTCCCTGCAGCAGCACAGATACCCAACCTGTCGTCCGAGCGGTCTCTAGGCGAGGCGGGGAGGGAAAAATGGAGTCGCAGCAGCATTGCTCTCAGCTCGGACGCGTCCAATCACAAAGAAGACACAGACCACGGGCTCAGTGGCCCGGCCTGGCAAGCAAAAGAAAGGGAGCGAGGGGGAGACGGCAAGAGAGGCCAGAGCATAGCAGAGGGCCACCCAGTCCCCGGGATCAGCCTCAGAGCCTGGCAGAATCTGGCCGAAGCCGAGAGCGACCTGGCGCCAGGTTAGCAGGCAGAGCGGGGACGCTCGGCGGCTCTGTGGCCGGTCTGGAGTGGCTCACCCATATGGTGCGCCGCTCTGTTCCTGCTCTCTGTCTAAATCCATATGCCGCTGGTGGAAAGGTGCCCCCGCCCACCCCCTCCACACTCCCCTAACTCACAAGGGAGGTGTTTGGAGGTAAAGCCCTGAAGGCTTGTAACCCCCTTCCTACTTCTTAACCCCACAGAGCTGCTTAGCCTATTGTCACTACAATCTGCTACCATAGCCTTCGTGCCCCCCCCACTCCCCCTCCACCACCGCCACCCTCTCTTTCTCCTCTTCTTTCTTTCCTTTCTCGTCCTTTTATCTCCCGTTGGCACCTGATAATCGATGAACTTATTAACTGCTAATTATTCAAGCTGTGGATGGAGGATCCCTCGCCGTCCCTCTAAAAGACAGCGAGAGGGAAAAAGGGGGAACTTCTCCTCTCTGCCAAATGAAGTGCTTTATATTGCCCATTCATTTGGATTAAGTGCATTCAGGCTGCAGAGTTTGGGATGTGAAGATTTTGTCAGATTGCTATCAGTAACATTCAACATTAATCCCCATTTTGTTCAGCCAGTTGATAGCACTCGTTTAGCGGAAGCCCCGGAGACTTTCATATGGAAACACGATTTTAATGGGTTTCATCAGTGACGATTGAGTGTGTGCGTCTAAAGATGTGCCTTCTACTCTGTTCTGTTTTTGCAGGAGGTCCTTCAGACGATACCAAAGTTCTGCTTTCCCTTTGACGTGGAAAGGTACGATTCCTCGTTTTATTTGAGCAGCGCAGCTCACTTTCACCTGAAGCACACGTCCTCTGCACATACCACGAGGAGCTATAAGCTACTACTTGATGACGTCCACGCCAGCTCACCGGCTTAAAAACTAAAAAGCAAGAAAGCAAGAAAAACAAACCAAGAAATGAACGCTGTGATCGTCATATTAATGATGAAGCCACAGGTTTTATTAGTGGTGATGCTGATGAGGTCATCAGCGACAGGCCCACATGATGCAGTTGTGGTTAGTGAGATTTCCTGTGAGTGCAAATGTGGCCAAAGTTGAGAATATAAGGGAGCGTGTTTCTGTACGGACTGTAGGTCCAATCAGATCAGCAGCCTGAGAGCAGCACAGCTCTTATTTTTAGTAAGTGACACGGTAAAAACTCCCATTTTTAAAGACAGAAAGGAGAGAGAGGGAGGGAGGGAGGGAGGGCTCCTTGGTATTTTTACTGAAGCTGAGCTGCTGCCATCTAGTGTTGAAGGCGTGTACTGAGCTTTACTGGAATTTACCTTGGGGTTGGAAAAGCTTTTCACTGTTTTTTTCTTTTGTACCAGTCATACTCGAAATATGTGACATCAGATTTGGAGCTTGACTGGAGATTTAGCTCGTGGGGAGTTTTCCTTTTTGAATGAGGCCTTCTTTCTGGGCCAGTTACATCTAATTGTGTTTTGTTGTGCTGCTTCTTAAATGTGTGTGTTTTCGTTTTAAACACTTGTGAGGTTTTTGTGAGCGTGCACAGCACGTGTCCCCCGTTTTGTCGCCCAGGGTCTCCCAGAGTCAGGTGGGGCAGAATTTCACCTTTGTGCTGACGGACATCGACAGCAAGCAGAGGTTTGGTTTCTGCCGACTCACCCAAGGCTGCCGGGTCTGCATATGTCTGCTCAGGTAACACACGCTCTGTGAAGTGTCTTTAGTCTTATTCCTCCCAAAATGTTTTCTACATTTGTATTTCATTAAGATGAATCCTGAACCTCGGCATCTTTACAGGTTTTTAAATTTTTATTAAAGGAACATCGAACACGATTTCCATAAATAAGCAGCGAGGTTACTAAAAACTGCACTTCACAAATACATCAAAATAAAGAGAATATGTGTGAGTTGCCGTCTTTATTTACTCGTTCAGATAACCTGGACTTGCTCTGCCCTCTTTAAATAAAAATCATAAATTCTATGGATCGCTGCAGAACTGTTTTTATTTTTTTATCTATCAAGTTTGATGGAGAGGGAAAAAAAATTAGCCGATCTTTGAAGTGAACACAGATTTTTTTGAGGCAGCATTTTCATTCATTCTCACACTTCACACTGAGCTGCTCTATGCCAGAATAACAAATTTTATAGTCTCATCTGCCCACACAAATATGTTACTGATGTGCCTATAATTATCCAAAAGTTTAGCACTTTTTGATATTTTCATAGGTGGATTTCTCCTATCACAGCGCACATAAATGAGGACAGCAAACCCACGAAAAGAAAAAAAAAGGCATTTTCTTTGCATAATTGCGCTCCGGCAAAGACTATTATCATTTAATTCCCATGTAATTGCATGTTGACACAGTGTTTTTACAGATGTAATTAACTTTGCCATGACGGAGAAGAAGCCACTGCAGTGACGATCTCAGTGGAGTGGACTGAGGATAGAGCTGAGGAGGGAAAAGTACAAGAACGATATTTTTAATGAATTCATGAAGAAGTCGAACAAATAACAAACCGCACGACGAGGACAAAGGCTTTTTCGTATACTGTCTGTGGTGTGCAAAGGTGTGTGTGTGTGTGTTGTTGTGTGTGTGTGTGTGTGTGTGTGTGTGTGTGTGTGTGTGTGTGTGTGTGTGTTGTGTGTGTGTGTGGCTTGTCAGTTGGCGTGGAATGGAAAGTGTTAAGTGGTGAAATTGACTTGCCAAACTGATGAGCTGCTGTGAAGAACAGTGTCCCTCTTCCCCACACCACCCACCCTTCCTGGCCATCTTCCATGGCCTTTGTTTTTCTTTCTCCCTCCCTCTCTGTCTCTCTTGCTTTCTCTCCCTCTCCCCCTCGCCGTCTCTCCCTCTCTTTTCTCCTCGTTATTCGGCTACTGCCACAGTGCGACAGCAAAGACGCTTGGCCCATAATTATGCATGAAGCTTCGCTGCCAATTAGCAGAGGCTCCCCTGTCCCTCTCGCTGAGTTAGACATGCTAATTCATTTGACATATGATGTATAAAATTCATTATGCATTCTGAGTAGTTTGCATGGCTCGCTTCATTTATAATAATATAATGTATAGGAAGTTGTTTTTGTTTTGTTTTGTTTTGTTTTGTTCATTTAAAATTGTTAATGCGCAGCTCGGTTATGTTTTTAGTTTTTTACTTTTATTCCATCTTAAATATCCCCGCTCGTCCAGGACACGACGAGCGGGGATATTTAAAAGGATTAAAGTGTGTGCAAGAAATTTGGAAATAAAGTTCCCGTCTTCAAGGTCCTCGGTCGCGACTTTATCTTTGTTTATGATTCGTAAAGATGTTAATAATACAAGAAAAAATAAAATAAAATTAAGAGAATAAAAGTAGTTTTTTCTTCAAATGTGAAACAAGACGACGGCGGCCCGGGCCGACATGTTCATATTTGTTCTTCTAGGTCCCAAATATAAAATAGGACTCATTAAAACAGTTTGTGATTGCTCGAGTGCTGCACCGTAAAATTGTCACCTCTGCTTACGGGAGGAAGTGTCTTAATGAGCAGGACAGTTTTATGTGGACGGCTCTTTGTAGTGTCGTCGCTGAAGTCGTGACCAAAAAGACCAGGCTTCCTCCAGGCAGGGCTCTGAAAAGATGTGCGCACACACACACACACACACACACACTGTACTTTTAATTCTGCCGTTTTCACCCCAGCAGGGTGACCAAAGCCTGCTTTTCGTGTAATTAAAGAGTAAAATAAAGTTTATATCACAGCTGAGGCTCCTGAATCGATTCGACTTGCTTTTGGTTTAGCGTTCGCTCGTCCCCGTACTTAACCCTCGACCCCAGAAAGGAGTCGTGTAAGGCAGTCTTCCAGTGAGCCGTCTACAAAGTGTGAGAGGACTTACGATTACAGGTGCCTGTGCGTTAAATAAGATTTAAGAGCCATCTACAGGAACAGGAATAACTGTCACGCTAAACACCCAACAGGTACTTTATGGGAGGAAAAGAGGCCGCACGACACCGACGAGCCCCGACATTCAAACCGCCGGGCTAAAACTGCTCTGACCTGTCAGAGGTGCATGGCAGCAGGAGAGGGTCCTTGTGATTGGGTCTTAGGCTTTTTTAAGGTCGTTTGTGCTTCGAGGGGGCGGCGGCTGCTGCTGGGGAGTTGTGTTGCAACCTGTGGTCTCCTTGGTGGGCAACAAAGTTGCTTTTAACTGTTTAATAAGTACCTCTCTTACAGCAGTAGTTTGGCTAATTTGTTTCTTTTTCAGTCTTGGGTTGTATTTTTGCGTCTGCGCGTCCACAACGCTCCGATTACAAAGCTCCAAAGGCGCGTGTTGTCTTCCGTTAGATGGTCCGAGTCTGGGATGAAGAGCGCTGTGAAGGCTGTGAGTGGGTCGCAGATTAACCGGTTCATTCTCTGAGTGCATGGCACTTTGGGAAGACGTGTTTAAAATGGCAGGAGAGATTGCGGGGCCCCCACGCACCGAGCACTCCAATGATAGATGCCTCTCCGTCTCTATCGGAGGATTTGTGAAGCACAAACAGATCTGAGCAATGAACTGTGACGAGTAGGAGTATCTCTCTGAGCTTTCCAAACTTTCACTTTGCCCATACAGGAAGCAGAGGGGGGGGGAGAGCAAAACAGTGTCTCATTGAAGTTTTATTCATTTGATTGCGTTGGAATAAAGGGGGAAAAATCATCCTGTTGCCGGAATATTGATAATTTGCGGTTGGCTGTCGTCACGGTGATAATGCACTTTTCTGTAAAACTGAGGATTTACGGCACCAGCAGCATAACGACTGTGAGTCTGTGGTGAAAAATGAAGGATTGATGTCCAGAAGCCTGGTTTTTAACCACGAGGCTCAGATAAGCCCGGCCTTTGTTCTCTCTCGGTCTTTATATCAGACTGAAGTTGTGTAAACTGACCCTCGTGCACATATTTGCCTTTTGACGTGGCAGAAATAGGTCTTCAGGTTGATATCCGGTCACCAAATTAACATCCGCGCGTTTGATTGGGCCTCTACAGCAAGTGTGACCCGATTGCGGTAAATCTTCATGCAGATGTCACAAAATCGTCGCGTTAAGAGACTGATTGTTTCAGACTAATGGTCACTCAGCCTCTCTGATTGGTGCGCTTCGCTGCACCTCTCCTCGTCATTGGCCCCTCGCGGATTTATGCGATCTGAAAATTTGCATCAAGTCCACTTTATTGTTTTCTAGTTGTCTGTTAATTCCAGTCTGCGGAGCAGCCAGTGACCCATGCCCTGCAAACTCCTCTTCCTCCAGCCGACCGTCTGAGACGCAAAACTTTGCCTTTAGGAGTACGAGGCCAATCCAAGGCTTTTAATACGTCTCGATTTGCTAATCAAATAAAAAACAGCCCACGTTTGATTGACCGGCTCGTTTGGTCACTAATTCTTTTTCCCAGCCCTGCAATGCAGGAGAGTTAATGAAGCATTAATGGGAGTCTCTGTTTATTTAATGGCAGTGCTGGTCCTTACTCAGAGTCATTATACATGCGGTGTTTAAAACTGCATGTTAAGAGCCTGAATGAAATAAAAATGCAATAAGTTGATAGGACACCGTGTTTTTAGTATTTGATTGCATAACATTAAACGAGCTGAGGCCTCGCAGCTTTGGTGCCAAAAGGAAAATGTTGGCCATCGTCCACCCAGAAACGAGTCGACTTGGCCAAGAAAATGTCAACTTTGTAAAGAAAGCCATGCTGCAGATGCTTTTAGCTTATGGTGGGTGTACTTGGTGATTAGCTCGAACACAAACACTGCAGTATAAATTATTTTTGAGCTTGTTAATGAATTTATTTATTTTACATTCATTACATAAGGAAAAGCTTTTTTTTCTTCTTCTAAATATGCAAAAGGCATAAGAAGAAGCGGGGGGGAGGGGGGGCATTTTTGTTAAGCCTGTGCATCTGGGAGCAGCATGCTCGTAAACCATAGCATCCCTCCACATCACACCAAGCCGTGGTGCTTTTTCTTTCTTCCTAAAGAATCCATTGTTGTTGTTTCCTCATTTAAAGAGCAGACATGGTGGGAATTCTTGGAATGCCGAGGGCCCGAAGCACGAAAGAACGCCATAATAAGGACGAGATAGCGTTTAATTCCTCCTCAGTGTAACAACTCTGACAGAGTCCATGCCCTGTATGCAGCGTGCTCTTCAGGTCACGCCGTTCGTGCAACGCACACGTCTGCCGGGGAGCGACGTGCGCGTCCTGCTTTGATTCGTCACCTCCCGGTTTGATGACTGAATGAATGAAAGCTTTTCCCCGTGCTGCACATTAACACGTTCCTCTCTGACTCTTGCAGTTACCTACCCTGGTTTGAAATCTACTACAAGCTTCTAAATACCCTGGCAGACTACTTATCGAAACAACAGGTAATCTGGTCTTTTTCTGTGTGTCGACTATTTACACTTGTGCTCTAATGGAAAACAAAATGAGGAAAGGTGTAGTGGGATTTGCCTGAGAGACACGCAAACACGGCACCGCGGCGAGATGTTTTCCTGCATTGTGTTCTCGCGCGTCGTCTTTGGCGAGCAGCCGTCTCGGGCTCGACTCGTTTCCTGTTGTTAGCAGCAACAGTGTTGACATTTCACAGACCAAACGCTGATCTGACACTGGAAGTTTTTCCTGATGATTTACTGGAATACAAATCGTTAAGAACAAGAAAATTCCCACACACACACACACACACACACACACACACACACACACACACACACACACACACTCTTCACTAAAGTCTTTTCCCCTGACTTTTCGCTGCATTGTACTAGCAGAGGGAGGGGAAATGTAAAATATGCAACAAACTGGGGAGATGCGCAGCGCCTGGTGCAGCGGGTGTAGGTGATGTTCCACTGTTTAGACTGAAGGGAGGGGAGGGAGCTTTGGGATCACTTTCAATTGTCATGTAGTCACTGCTTCTTCCAAGATCCTCTGAGAACAGCGATCAGGACAAAGTGTCTGTCTAAAGTAGACAGTGGCAGACACACAAACTCCTGCAGTTCATCAGAATAATCTAATATGAAGAGAGGAGGGGGTGGGGCCAAAAGCAGATCAGGACAGTTTGTGCGAGGAAGACGGAGACAGAAGGATAGCTGGAAATCCTGGGTGACTGAAGTGTTAGTGTGCATGATTTGGTTTCTATTTACCCCGCTGTCCGTTCCAGGCGAGAGGGAGATGTTGACAGACGAGGGAAGACAGAAGAGCGATGAGGGTTTAAGGCGAGGGGTAAATGAACTGTTTCCCCAGGCCGTGTTGCTGACCATGCGTGTGAGCATTGAGGCTCTCATGACAGGAGGCTGTTCGATTGCACCCCTCCCTCCTTAACCCTCCTTCCCTTTACTGTATATTGCCGTCTATTGCTTCTATTTCTTTTCCACTTCATGCACGCACACACACACAAACGCTCGCGCGTTCATTTCCTGGCGCGAGCAGCGGCTCGTACACAAAACCAAAACAAAGTTCTCAGAGAGGAAGTTGAAGCAAACAGTCGTCCCTCCTTTTTGTTTCTCCAGCAGGAGGCCGAGGGTGTGAACGGTGATCCTGTCAAAGAGCCGTAAGTGCTGGAAGGATCGTCTCAGGCCTGATCCGTGGTCAGACCGAGTTCTCTGCCGGCTTCCTGCGGCCTCTGTCTTTGCAGCGAGGGGTGGGGGCTTAATTACTGACAGCCCGCTCTCGGGCTGTAAATCAACGCCGACGGATAATAAGCGTCTGCGGCTCGTCTTTTAACCTCGCCGTTTCTCGTTAAACATATGTCGGTCGGATGTTGCGGAGCCCTACGGCCCCGTGGTCTGCAGCAGCGCCGTGTTTGAGATTGACACGTAACTTGTGACATCAACAAGTCAAGGGAATAAAATTCACGCGGCTCTTTTCCTTGTTTGTTTGTCTCCTCTAGAAAAACGACTTGAACGACGTGCTGAACTCCCTCTATGACCTGCCTGTGCCAAAGCCCTTCACGCCCGTCAACCTGAGTGTGGTAGGTATCTTGTGTTCCCCGTTATCGGAGGCAGAGACAGAAAGAGGGGACAGGTGGTGACTGTGGCAGCGTGCAACTTTAAAAAAGTCGTCACAAAGAAGAAACGAGCACGTGAGGGTGGAGGAAAGCGGAGGTTGAGATAAATGAGAGAGCAGAGCAGTAGATGCTGTAGGTGGGAACAGCGACTGACACCCCGTTTGGAAACCTGTTGTTTCAGCGTGCGATGAGCCTGAGCCGGACATGTTTAAAGTGGAAGCCTCCTTTCACAGCTCGCCGTGTCTCCGCTTATCCAAAAAGTGGAACGGCCTAACGAGCTCGGTCGCTGAAAGCCGGCCTGTGACACAGCTCGGCCTCTGTCACGTCCCTGTTCAAGACGAGCGTGATGGTTTCTCTCCAGTATCTGTTTGAGTTTTAGGGCCTCTGTACTGTAACAGCATCAAAGGGTTTCGTGGGAGCCTCTGCCCTCGGGGACCACCTCTCTTTAGTTTTTTTGTTTTTTCGGACCAATTAGACAAACAGCTGTAGAAGAACACTCGTCTAATTAAACATATGAATTTCCAGCCTAACAAGACTAATACGAGGCGATCAATAAATCTCTGTGAAGGCTAACGAGTCCATTTCTTCCCGTCTGAGTGTTGATTGGAAAAGAAGCCCCAGAGAACAGAGGTGATAGCTTCATCTCTCCTTCGCTCTTTTTCTGGAGAAGCCACTAGTTTGATATTTAATTGATGAAGCAGAATTCTTCCCTTAAAGTGTGTTTTTGTTTTATCATGGCAGCCAAGAAGAAGAATCATTGTCCCCTTTCATCTGTGAACCCTCTCTCTCTCTCTCCCTCTCATTGTGCAAGAATGAGCAGTTGTATATTGCCACTGGGCAAGTACTGAGAGATCGGCGAAGCAAGGAGCCGGTGAGTGGAGGGGAATGAGCGAACGGCAGAGGAGGGAGGAGGCGAAATATGAAACTGCTGCTATACTAATCGCATGGGAGCCGCGGATTTCCAATTTGGCCAAATAAGCTGCGCTATCTTTTTAAATATAACAAAAACAAACTATCCTGGGCCTTGGTGTATGTTTCTTCTCCTCTGGAAAACAATCAAACTTTGTAAATGATTAATGCCCTTCCACACTGCTAGATTCTCTCTCTGAATATCAAAAGTCTTTTTTCCCTTCTCTTTATGTTTAAAGCAAAGGCAATTGTACTCAAAAAATCTCCTTGATGCCTTTCCAGTTAACCCACTTTCAATGTTTTTATATAAACAAGTCTTCGAAAGAACAAGGGGTGGTGGTGGGTGGGGGGTGGGGGGGGTGATAAGCAAGCAAACAGCCAATGAAAGGCAGGGTTGAGTTGAGGAGCGCGGCTTGTGATTATCACAGCGCCGCGAATTTGTAACTTTGTTTAGTTACACAGAGCACAAGGAGAGGGAGGCGGAGAGTTACCGTGGTTACGGGTGACGGTCCTTAGCACCAAGTCCTCGATTTTACACTTTATTTATTTATTATCTTTTATCATAGATGATAGATGGGTGATGGTAGAGGTTGAGCTGAATTAACTCAACTTTAAAGCTGATGACCAAGTACTAATGCCGTCAGCCAATCACGTGTGACTATTTGTGCGCAGTTTTATTTGTTCGCAGCTCTGCATCGAAGCTGCAGCGTAACCACAAACTAACCATCAGAGTTTCTTACATGAACACGGCGACGCTGCGCCTGACGTTGATTTAACTGTAGCTCTAATCAGCACGTGGAAACCGGAGACGCTCCTTCGCTTTAGTGTTTTCTGTCAGGCATCACCGAGGGCAGGAAAATCACGTGGCTTTGTTTCTTACTTGGCAACAAGCAAAAACCTTGTTTTGGGCTGATCAGCAAAAAGTCACAAAAGGATCTTTAAGAGAACTTACGGATGTTAAGGCTGAGCGAGCGTCTGGTTAGTGTTTGCAGTGCGTGAGCTCTCCTGTCTCGGCGAGCAGCCCCGCATCTCGTTAAGCGATCAGAACGAATTTGTTTTTATTTTTCAGCTGCAGAAAGTCGCCGTGCAAAATACGCATACAAATACGGCTTTAGCAATAATACAAAGCTTCAGGGGAGAGACCTTGATGTCTGCTCCAGTTTCTGTTTATTTGCTGCGTCTTTATCTCTTCTGAGCTTTGTTCAACCAGCACGGTGACCGTCCGCTGGGAGCAAACTGATGGTTTACTCGTGAAAATTGGTTTTTCACATTTTTTTGACCTTAACTCACATTTATTTAAGGAGTGAAAGGGCTGTTTGTTTTACACTAAACTGAATATTTCTTTGTCGCCAGGCAGAGAATTCAAACAACATTAAATTATGATGATGTGCAAATAAAATCTACTGTGTCTCTTTGTAGAAAGACTTTAACGTATCCGTAGAAATGCAGAGTTTAGTCTTCAGCATCAAAGCGATCATAAGATGAGCTGGCGGGTCGTCGTTCTTTGGAAACGCTGAATCGGATTCGTCAATAATGTCGTTCAAAGTGGCAAAGATGAAATCGGATGATCGAGCTCAGAACACAAACCGGATCCTTTTACCGTTAAAACAGAGGTGGGGGGAACTCCAGGCCTCGAGGGCCGGTGTCCTGCAGGTTTAGATCTCACCCTGGGTCAGCACACCTGAATCACATGATGAGTTCATTCCCAGGCCTCTGGAGACCTTCAGGACATGTTGAGGTCATTTAGACATTTAGATCAGCTGTGATGGATCAAGCACATCTAAAACCTGCAGGGCAGCAGCCCTCGCAGCCTGGAGTTGGACACCTGTGCATTAAGTTTCCATGCTTTTTTCCTGCCTGACTGTGGTGGACTTTTAATGGGTGGTGCTGGTGGTGGTGCTGGTGGGTGTCGAGTTGCCGATTTCATTGTTGTGTTACTCCCAATGTAAATGACTGTTTAATAATGATGTAAAGAGTTGAAAGTTTTGATCCGTTCTAACCTGATTTGTCTCAGTGTGCGTTTCAGAGACTCTAACCTGTGAACGAAGAGCTGCAACAGATGGTTGAGTCGAAGGCCTCAGAGAAGCGCAGGTGTACTTCCAGGAGAGTGTGTGTGTGAGACGCACAACAGTGTGTTTCACCTGGTGGTTTGTCTACCTCCAAACAGCACCTCTCTCAGGCCTCTTTGATCTGAACACTGAACCTGCCCTGCTCTCCCAAAGTGAGACAGGCAGCCCTGTGATCCTCTAAACAACCCGTGCGCGAGAGTGCGCGTCTGCGCCGAGTCGTGCACGCGCGCTCTCCGCGAGCCTTTTTAACGCTTAAATAAAGACTCCGTTTTCCACCGGAGACATCACCCCAGTCGGTGTCTACGGGGAGCTGAGCTGCTATTGAGCTTTCTCTGTTCTGTAGGCCTGATAAAAGCATTGCCACAGTTCAGACACCAGCTCAGCAATTCATATAGACAGAGCTGAAGATGAGCCATAAATCATAGAACAAAGTGAACGGCCTTTTTCTCTCCCTCTTCCCCTCGTTCTCTCCTGCGTGAGTGCCGTGCCTCGCTCGTGACCTTCCCTCTTCTTTCTCCTCATGTTTGTGTTTTCGCAGCACTCCTACTTCATCGCCCCGGATATCAATGGACTGCCAACTATCCCTGAGAGTGTAAGTATGCGTGGAAAAGAAAAGGAAGAAGAGATAAAGAGAAATCCCTGTATTCTGGGAACATCTTTGCCTCTAATCGTTTTTAATCAGATACACATGTCACTCTTTGAAATGATTGCATCACGCTCTTGTATCAGCTTTAGCTCCTGCGGTGCTTCTGCTTTTAATGTCAAGGTTCACAGACTGGCATGGCTGTTGGTAGATTCAAACTGAGCTCGCGTCCTTTGTTGATTTCTGCATTCAAATCTCAGCTCGAAGCGTTAAGGCGGGGACTTACAGCTACGTGCCATCACGTTGGCTCTGTGTAAGGGATGCAGTTAGCACAAGTTTGCCAAGTTTCCCAAACAGTGTGTGCAATCGTACAAGTCCAACTGCTGCGTTTCCTCTGGCTTCAGTCTGCAGCGTTGGCGCTTTACTGCAAACGAGTTGTGCCAGGACAGTTTGTTACCAACCTGAATGTCCTCCTGTTCTTGTCCATCTCCAGAGAAACCTGACCGAGTACTTTGTGGCCGTGGACATCAACAACATGCTCCAGCTCTACGCCAGCATGCTGCACGAACGCCGCATCATCATTACCTCAAGCAAGCTTAGCACTGTGAGTCCCACCCGTCAGACACTCGACAAACACTCGGTCTTTGTGCTTTTCTGTTTTTAATTCGAGCTGAGGTGGAGCTTTCAGCCGGCGTGTGCGCACGTGTGGGGCTGTCGATGCCTTGGTGTGGAGCTCTAACACCCTCGTTATAAAGTATGTGGCTGAAGCATAGATTGAACATGAGTCCCTTCATCAATATTCCAGCAGGACATCAAACCCTAACAAGTATGCTGAGAATATTTATCTGACACTTTGCTGCTTATGTGGGGAGATCTGTCGACCCCTCCGCCCCCGCCCGGTCTGACGGGCAGCCCACGATAAAGCTGGATTATTTGCGTCCTATAATGGGCACGCATTGATGTCCACAGAGGCGGGCTCGATTCTCTCACAAAACTTAAACTCGCTGTCTGTTTGCACGAGGGAGGAAATCTCTCATTCCAGCCTCTCTCCGTTATCCTCGCTGCTGGTGAGGCCAAACGTTTATGAGGCGGGAGAGGGAAGTGATGTCATCCTAGTCCTATCTGCATCCGCGGCGTTGCTGGTCCTGCCACCTTTGCAGAACACTTAGCAGCCGCAGGGGCCCACACCTGGCGTTTTGGGCGCTGGAGGGAACAGTTCCCAAGGTCTCCCACAGGAGCTATAATCAGGAAGACCTGTGAAAATGACTCAGCCCCTTAGAGGATTTCACCTGTCTCCCCTCAGCTCCTCAGACCAGCAGCACCTGTGCTGGAGATCCAAGCAGCACACGGTGCAGTGACAGGAGCGGTGCATGATGTAAATGATCAGACTCAAGGGTGAGACTGTTTTTATTTCAGCAGGAATACTTGGGGGAGGGGAGGGGTTTATTTTTTCCCTGTCTGTGATTTACAGTCCTCTGCTGCCCGAAGACAAATCTCAGCTTGTTTTTCTAACAAATATATGCCGACAGGATATTTTAAGAGCCTCCACGTCAGACCTTTACCTCCGTGAGCCTTTTATCCTCTGCAATTCTTCATCCACTCATCTATCCATCCATCTTCCTCGGGGAGAGGTGTTTTGGTTTGGTAGCGTTATATGTCAGGAACTGCAGCACAAAAGTATTTTCACATCTCCGCTGGGATTACGAGCAGGCCCGGTGTTATTACTGCTCCTGTGATGCGTTGTTTTTGTTGTTGGGCAGATTGACCCGCGAGTTCAAGCGGAAATGGCTGCCGCCATTCTCGAAGCCGCGTATCTGAGCGTATGTGTACTTAACTTGAAAGCGCTCCGGCTCGTTATCCGGTTCCCCGTCTTGTGATCGAATATGTTACTGGATGAGAGAATTATAATTTATGTCAGAGTTCGTCCAAATGTTGGCTAAAGTGAGCGTCGGCAGCCACTGGATGGACAGCCAGTGTTTCTCCAGTCTGCTTGCTACAGATAGAAGATGTATGAGAGAAAGTATTGTTAGTAACATCGTTAGTACCATCCAGCTGCTTTTCACCACCTCCGCCTGTCCAGCATCTCAACCGAGCAGAGTGAGACGGGGAATAGAAACACACACACACACACACACACACACACACACACACGCTCAGAGATGTGCTGCATTTATTCTGCCTGCTCGAGGTGCTGCCTGTGTTAAAGCCCCCGGTGAACCCAGCGTGTCAGTCTGTCGGTACATGGCTGCCGCGTCTCGCAAGCAGCCAAAAGCAAAGGAATAAATCATGATGGTACAACAATGCGTCAGTTGACTTATTGCTGCTTCGTGACCAGAGGTGAACGGTGCCGCTGTTTTCTTTTTTTGTTTTTTGTTTAAAAAGAAAAAAAAGCCAGTCGGCGGTGGCGCAGGGGCGGGAGCCAGCCGTGCGTGCAGCCTTGTCATAGGCCCGTATAATAGGGCTGCATCGGCCCTTCCTCTAACTAGTCAGCTGGGAGGACCCCCTCTGAGTCTTTCATATGCCGAGGCCCCCCAGCTCTGCAGCCCAGCCTCTGCCCTGCCTATCGCCCAAATTCACACCGCCCCGACCCCGGCACTGGCTGACAGCAGCCCTCTCATCAGGCTGTCAGGCCTATGCTAACAAGGAGCTATCCATCCAGCGTGCCCTGGAGTGCCAGCTGCCTCTCTGTTTCCAGCCTTTTCCTCTGTTCCTTCCCCGTCTCTCTTTCTCCCACTTCTCTCGGCGTCTCTCCCCCCTCGCTCTCTGTCTTAGTAATTCTTTCTCTCTGACATATTATTTTCTGTCCATCTGTCTCTCACTCTCTCCCGCTACACCTCTCTTTCTCTCTGACTTTGCCTGCCTCTTCCTGGGAGTCTTAATGTGTCTGTCTGCTGTTGGGCAACTGCAGAACATCAAGACATCCTCCCCCACCTTGTCCTCGATAGACTCGTCTCTGCCGTGTGTCTTAAGGCGCGTGTCGTCGCTGCGACGGTGTGCGTGCACATGTGCGTGCAGAGGGTGTTCAGAGCGTCGGCTTCTTTTTTTTTAAGCATGCATCTGTTTGTGCGAGTCGTCTGCGCTCACAGGTGTTTGTACCTTATGCCTTATGTCTTCCTGTGAGGGACTGTGTGGGAGGCCTGGCGTTGGCTGCTGCCTGCGTTGTCCTGCGTGCCCTCTCTACCCCCCCGCCACCTACCTGTTTGTGGCATGCTTGCGTCGTACAGAGCCTGACACCGGCGTTTGTCAACAGAGGGAAAAGCAGAGCGTGGGTAATTGGTGACTACTCCGGAGAGGAGAGGGAAAGGCTAACACAGCAATACAATGACAGGGAGGTGGGGGGGATGAGGGAGAGGTGGCAGGGGACAGAAGGACAGCAGGAGGAGAGGAGGAAACGGAATAAGTAATGGAGACTTGGGATGAAAACAGGATTGAATTTGGAGAGCGCACAGGGACAAAGTTGGAAGGAGAGGCAGCGAGTGTTTCAGGCCGGTGTGAGGAGGTCAAGAGCGGCCGTGTCGATTCCTCCTGTCAAACTGAATTAGGTCGCCCGCAGCAGCGGTTATTCTTGCTGCGTTTAAACCAGAGAGCAGCTGGTTAAAGGCTCGGCGACCGTCATAGGACCTCCTTAAGTGCGATCGTAGCAGCATTGTTTGTGCCTCATGTCAATCTGCTCAGGTGAAGAATAATGGGAAGGGTATGGCAGAGCGCTGATGTCTCGAGCGGGTCTGGACTTAATTGAAGGGCGGCGCTGCTGTTCGGTCATGAAAACACAGTTTGGATGCAAAATTGAGGTTTATTTATCTAAACGTTGTTGTCCTCGATTCAGTGAAAAAGTGGCAAATAAAATATGTGTAAATACAAAAACTCCCCTTTTCTATTCTGCTGCTGACGGATCGCCAGGAAACGAAGGATCACATCAAACCTCATTATTGATAAACTGCTTCATTCCTGAGTTTATGGCGTCGACTTTGAGTTGCAAATTTTCTTCCTCTTCCATCTTCTCCAACTTTCACCTCCTCCTCTGTATCTCTCGATCCCTCTCTTTTCGGTCTGTCCTTCCTTTAGTCTCACTGAATAGATCTGGGAAGACCCGTGTTAGTATGGACACTTTCTGTCTCGGCTACAGCGCACTAAAAAGCTCTCAGGGCAGAACCAAAGACCTTGACTGCTTTTTGAAGCAGGCTGTCGCTGTATAATCGGTTAGCTTCTCTCAGAGGAAGGGGCAACACACACACATGCACAGTGTGTAGGAGGCAGGCAGCCCCTCATTACCGGGCATAGCCCTGGTCCCCGAGGACTGGACCCAGCACCTAATCCTGTATTTGTTCTTGGGGACTGTATCTGTGATTCTCCATTGAATGGAATATTAAGCACCAGGTCTTTTGTGGAGCGTGTAAGCCATTTGGCTCCACTCATCTATTATTTATCAGCCTGGCAAATATTTTATCAGCCTTAGCCTCTCATGACCCACTCTCATGTGAAGCCCCCCTATAAATGAAGAAAAAAAACAGGGGTATCTTTTTTTTTCTTTTTCAATTTATCCTCCTTTTACTTTTTGCCTCATTTGTTCTAAAACCAGGACAAGGACACGGCCGTGTGTATTAGGCTGAATTAGAGAAGCAAATATGTGAAGTATTCCTCTGGAGTTCCCTTCGAGTTACCTTATCTAAGGCGCGCTGCCGCTTCCACCGCTTTGGAGATAGCACATAAATGAAAAGTGAAATCTAGATTTGCTTTATAAATCATTATCTTCGTTTCAGACTCCCTTCTCGGCCGACTCCCCCAAGCCAGCCACCCAGCCTGGGAAGAAGAGAAGCGCAGAGAGATACTCCTGTTTTCACTTTCAACCTGAGAGTAAATCATGCCGGTTGGGGGGCTCACCTTGAGGCTTGGTGGAGATAATTGGAGTTGGTTAGCGAGGTGTTCTGAGCCATTACCTCCTGGTACCAGCGAATGGCTGGGGCTTGTCTCTCACTCCCAGAGGAGGGATACAGTAGCCTGTTGGCTCTGCGCTTCGTGTGCGTGCGCGCACATGCATGCACACGTGGCACGTGTACACATGCGTGCGTGCATAACCGCAGCCAGATCGGTGACCTTTCCCGATCGCAATTTTAATGGCCCCTCAGCATCGTAGGGCGTGAGAGTTCTGATCGTCACTTTTCCACCAAGTGCTTCACTTTCATACATTAATATTCATAGCATTGATTTATTTTCAGAATTAACTAAAAAAACAGGAAAATAAAAACCCCAAACTGTTTGCCAGGGAATTAATCCTGACAGGAGCGTGGCATTGTTGTTTTATTTGAAGACAGCAGGAAGCAGAAATATGCATATGCAGATACACAGAGCAAGACACCAATTAAATGTTGATTAAGTCTTAACTATTGTGGGACTGCGTGTATGAGAGATTGCAGAGAGACAATTAAAACGAAACGGAAAAAAGAAAAGACGTTGGCTTTTTTTTTCCTGGCCAAACACACACGCTGGGAGGGAAACACACACACACACACACACACACACACACACACACACACACACACACACACACAGGCTTTCTGTTGTGAGCTTTTCAGATGTCCGGGCTTGATCTTTGGGTGGATTCAGAGGGGTGGGGCCCCTCTCTCTCTCTGGCAGCGGTGGTTTTCAGCCGCCGAGCTCGCCCGCTTTTGGCCGGTCAATTGTGACACTGCGGTGGTAGTGTCAGCTTGAGCGAGGGGGTCTCCTGGCAGTTGCGCGCGTGTGCGTCTGATGAGCGTGTGTCCGCTGGTCACACATTGTAGCTGTCTGAAGTCTGCAAGCAGTATAACAGCGGCTGCTGCGGTTACCGGGGTCCGGCCAGCGGTATCATGGCCTAGTTCTCCTGTTCAGGTTCTTCTCTTGGTCTAACTTCATCGTTTTCACTTTCTTTGGCCAGATTTGCCCCCGTAATGAAGTCCCGCAGGAGCCCTCTCAGACTCTGTTCTCCTTTCCATATTTAATCATGTATTTATTTTAATCTGGGGACTGAGGCTAACTGCTCTGCTGTGTGTGTGTGTGTGTCGTGTGTGTGTGTGTGTGGTGTGTGTGTGTGTGTGTGTGTGTGTGATGTGTGTGTGTGTGTTGTGTGGCATAGTGTGTGTGTGTGTTGTGTGTGTGTGTGGTGTGTTGGGTGCATGTGTGTGTGAGTGTGCATGTGACGTGTAGCTCGGTTTCATGTGATGAGATGTCAAGAGGGAGATGCTGGCTGTAAGACAATGGAAGACAATGACTTTAGTTCTGGGTGTAATATTGGTTTGACAGTGTAAAAAGCTCCTTTGAAAAGCAGTGTCATCTTCACGTGATTGCTCCTCATCATTTGTTTAAAAAAGAGGTTAATTATTCCGTTTTTTCCCCTTTAATTTCCCAGTCATCGTGGTCGGGTAATTCAGATTTTTATGGCTACTGTCAGACTGTTTTGGCTTTCTTTTGTTGCTTTTGTGCAGGTCACAGCACAATCCCGACTTACTGACACTGATTGAAAAAGAGTTTAATAATGAACTCTGACTCTTTAAAAAAAATGGGGTCAGAATCAGTGTTTTAAAGTAATGACTCGTAATGGCCAGGTGCAATAGCAGCAAAACGTGTTTGCTCTAATGACCCTGGACAAGTAAATCGATACGGAGACGGCGCTGGATGCGTGTTGGCTGCTTTCCTTAGATCAATCTTTTTAATAGTTTTCTTTTCACATCAGTCGTCTCTGCTTTCTCTGTCACGAGGTCGGAGGCGGGCCCTGTCAGCGGGCTCGGCCATCAGAAACGGACGAGGATGAAACGACTGCATGTTTGGTTTATATTAAAGGACATAACAGCGTGTGGGCGGGGCCACTGTAGTCATTTTTTAAAAGTAATTTATTACTTAAAATTACTTTCACCAAGAGCACAAATCAGAGTCTCCAAACTGTTCTGCCTTTTCATGAATTTTATGTTGTTGCTCAAAGTTTTTCCTTTTGAATCCCTCCTCCTCACATCTTCTCTCTCTTCCTGCAGTTAACGGCGTGTGTCCACGGCGCCGCCGCTTTGCTCTTTCCCATGTACTGGCAGCACATCTTCATCCCTGTGCTGCCCCCGCATCTTCTGGACTACTGCTGGTAAGGCTGACCACCTCTGCAGCACACACGCAGCAAACACCACGCGCATCAGCATCACCAGTGTTTTCTCTCCAGCGCACACGTGCGGCGTGGCGTGCTCTGCCACTAAAAGTGCAGACACTCGTGTTCACACCTTCTCCCACCCATTCTTCATGTTCTTGCGATTCCTCTTGTGGTGCGACTTCTCACGTGTGGCTTCCTCGACATAATGAACGGCCCCGATCACCGGGCTCCATATTTCATGCCGGCGCCGCCGCGCTCTCATCATCTGGGCTCTCTCAGGGTTTCATTACCAGCGATCCAACGCAGATCCGACAAATCTGGACGGACTTGACTGAAACTGGATGCGGAGCGGGAGTCGCGGCTCGTCTGCAAAGCCGCACGTGCTCGGGTCAACGTCAGATCTGAACGCGTGAAAGCGTTTGCAGCGTGGTTACGTTTGCCCAGCGCTTCACCATCAGCGACATTTGGCTTGAAGAAGCTATAAATCACTGACAGTGAAATGTGATTTTCAACACTCTGCAAAGACTCATCATTATCTTATTCAATCACAGCGGTGTCCTCATGCGCTGATTAGATAATGCAATTACATTAGATGTGTGTGTGTGTGTGTGCATGAGCGTCTCTGCCCATGCCTGTGCGTCTACTGTTTGTGTAACTGGATCTGTGTAAATGTCGAACATTCATAAAACAGCATCCAGGCCTGCTGCTTGTTTTTCAGTTGCTTTAAGCTGATTACAAGCCTGTGGCTGCTGAATCATTCTGGCCAGGAACACGCTGACCCCAAACTATCCGATTATTACCGCCTCTGTAAACCTCATCGTAAAAATGGTTTCTATTATTTGACTGTTTTTGTTGATTTTATTCCTCGTGCTGATGGGGAGCGGTCCGTGATTCAACTTTTCCTTTCCGCAAACTTTGAAAACGAAGATATATATCACACCAAATAAGGACGACATGATAATAACCCCGAAAAACCAAACACTTTATTTTTTTTGTTGCTTTTGAAAATAAAAATAAAACTCTTGACACATCTGCCCTTTAACTTTCTGAGGGAATAATTCTTTCTGCACTTCCTGAAACTCTGTCGACTCGGAGAGAAACCAAGCCTTAAATGCTCCACTGATGCTTGTTGTTTTATACTTTTGTTATTAACCAGTAAGTTTTGCATTTCTGTCAGTATAAGTCGCTGTTATTTTTAAACTGTTCTTGTTTAATCTTTTATTCAGTCTCAATCAGCGATGTAAGGAAGGCGGGAACACATTTTGTGCTTTTAAGAATAAATCCTGTAACATGAGATTAGTTTGTGCTGCTGCTGTTGGGAAATAATCACAAACCTTACAGTGAGAAGAAAATGTGCTGCCTGTGCCTGTCAGCTGGGTTCAATTAAATATAGTTGTCAGTACATGCAGCAGTGTCAACTGTAATTATTTTAAGGATTAGTGACCGTTGTTATTTTCAACGATACGTGATTACCACTGTTCTTAATCATTTTAAGTCAGGCCTTCACATTTCAGCACATGTAACCCTGACATGTATTCAGATTACATTTATGGAATACAAAGAAACTAATTTCCACAGCTGTGATTTTTTTATTTCAAAGACTCGTGTCATCGCTGAAGTGTCCTCCGTGAATGTTTCCTCCGTGTAAGCGTCTGATCTCACAGGTCTCACTCTTTCTGTCCACAGCGCCCCTATGCCGTACTTTGTGGGAGTTCATCTCAGTCTGCTCGAGGTATGTTCGAAAGTCTTTAGCATTTTCAGTAGATTTGAATGTTACGCGTTCATTTTGTAGATGGTTTTCATTTGAGTGTTTCAATAAAATTTGACAGCTATATTTTCTTCTCTTTTCACTTCCTCTGCTGCTTTCGTGCTTCCTTAAAGCAAACGTACACAGAAGCCCAAGAAAGCATCTGCAAACAAAGAGCTTTCCTACTTCATTGTGTTGTTTGGGGGGCAAGTCATCAGCAGCACTGCTGCTTTGTGTGAATGCATGTTGCAAGAACACACACGCTTACACTTGTGTGTAAGTGTTAGTATGTAGGTGTGTGTGTTTGTGCAGATGCATATGTTCTAATGCACACGTGTGTGTGTGTGATATTTGTCTGACAGTTGCGGCAGTGGCAGTATTTATCACACTCTGCATCCGTGACAGACCTTCTTTCCGCCACTACATAATTAGTCCAGATCAGCATGTGAGCCTCCGCTGCACAGGCTGTCACAAAAGTGACAAACTAGAAATTCACACACAACGCTGCCCCCCCACCCGCCTTCCCCGCACACACACCTGCCTGCATCCTGCACCACACTGAAATAATTGTTGAATTTGTCGCCATCAGGATGCGTGCGGCACGCCGCAGCATCACGGTGTTGTTATTGATGCGTGAGGTTTTTGGTGCTGTGGAAAATGTTCGCGCGGTCCAAATGTTTTCTCTCGGTGCCATTCTTCATTTCGCCAGCTCGCGTCTGCGCGCGCGTTACCGTAAACACGTTCTAATCATTTTTCTCCCCCACGCGCCATCTTTCATCCTTAATCGTAAAGGAGTGTGATAACTGTGCAGCTTTAACCGCGGCTGCTGGATGTTCATGTTCCCGGGGCTTCAGGACAGAAATAACTTTGTCTCCCGGGAAACGCACCTGGGCCACACTGCGGGTTTAAAATCGTGGCGTCGTTTCACAATTTAATAATTCCACAAATACAAATATTTATTATGTTGAAAGATGTCAGATGCACAGGAAGTCTCCAGCACAACCATCATTAAGAAAAACAATAAATGATCGCTTTGAGTGTATGTGTATACTTTTGAAACTTGTGAAATAATAATGATGAGAATATCTACGCTGCTGCACTAACGTCGCCCTTTTCCTCCCGTAGAGAGTGCGCAGTCGATCGCTGGAGGACGTGGTCATCCTGAACGTGGATACAAACACCCTGGAGAGCCCTTTCGACGACCTGCACAACCTCCCGAGTGACGTGGTGAGACCAACGCGCAGCTTTTATTGCTACATCGCACACACACACGCAGTAATCTCACGTGCACACGCGCATGGCAAGAAAACTAAAGCGCACACACATCCAGAAACTTGTCAGAGCACGGCTCTGTCCCCTCCCCGCATCATTAACGACTGCAGCACTGGCTCCTCAGACTGCGGCTGTCTAAAGTAAACTCCCGTCGCGTCGTATGACGCTGGAAGGCAAACAGCATTCCCCGACCATCAGAGGCTGGTGGGAAAATGTGAAACTCCCTTCCCTTCATCTCCATCCATTCTAATCATTATTTCACAAAGTCTTGCGTTTCTGCCTGCCCACTGGCACGTTTCTGAGGAGGAGAGATAGGAGGAGGCAGAGAAAAGAACAGGCAGAGATGGGTGATTTTGTGGGGGGAGAGAGTGGGAAGAAAGGGGCCAATTACCAGAGTGGGCAGTGAAGCCACCTGCCAGCGCGTCGTCTCTTTAATTAACGGAGCGCCGACGCCGGTCAGTGCTACGGGAAGCTTCACCGTGGCGTCGGGGTCACTCGCACACACCGGTCTTTGTGGTGTTTGTTTAGCTCTTCTTCACGGTGTGTGTTTAAAGCTCCGCCGTGAGACGGCGAGGCCCCGCCGAGGCTGCGGACGCTCTATTACCCACGCTGCTAACAGTATATGCTCGGGCTCCACCGCCTACGGGACTCCTGTCCCAGCAGCAGGACATAATTTCATCCACTGCCCAGCAGACTCCAGACCTGCTCGCACTCCCACACTTCTCTGGTTCTCCTGGTTTAGCGCTGCTCAGCCTACTATGACTGCTAGCGTGTGTGAATGCCTCTTTACTGTGTGCACCGATCTCTTTTACGCTTTCTGCCAGCTCTCTCGCCCGTTTGCCTGCCTGACTGCTCGAGTTTCATGGCACCTGTCTGCCTTCTTGTCTCCCTCCCTCGCAGCGCTTCCCGCCTGCCTGGACGTTTCCCGCAGCCGCTGCTTGCTTCTCTGCCTGTCTGGCTACCTTCTTCTCACTTCCTGCCTGCTTGCTTTTCTGCACCCAGGGACCGAATCCCTAAATTAAATTGCAAACTGAGTTTGTCATAAAAAAGAGTCGGGGCTTTTGAAGGCGACAGAAGCGGAGAGAGAAGCCTTTGTCTTTGCCGTGTGATAAATTAAGTGGCAGGCTCGGAGGCTTTTTTGCTTTGATCCCCACTCGCCATTTTTCCTGACTAATGACAGAACATAGCCTGCACATCACGTCGAATTACACCACCTGAAACGGAAACTTTGCTGGCATTAATATATTTATCGTAACAAATTGTTGTTGTTTTTATTCCCGTTCATTTCCCCCTCCTGTCTCCTCTCATCTCTTCGCGGAGGTTAGCAGATTAATAACAAAGCGAGCAGGTACTAATTGAGTGGAATTCCAGGTCTCTTGTTAGTTTGCTTGTTAGTGATGAGGACACGCCACATGGCATTTGATGTTTGTGTTTACACAAAAGGAGGCATTGTGCAGTTTGTCAAAGTGAGGCCTGAAATCTTGATTAATGCTGAGCGATTCTCTGCCTGGGCTGAGCTGCCGAGCTATGAAAGGCGCTCCTGGTTTCTCGGCGGTTCTCGCTGTAACGCTCGGGCTTTATTCGGCGTGAAGCCCAACGATTATTTCACTTTGTGTGAATATATAAAAGCATCAAATGGATTCAAAGGCCACGGGCGGTTCTTCTGCGCGTACGACTAAAAACACCCCGATGTTGATTTAAGGAAACCTTTGGAGATCCGTTTAATTGTGGCGGCGCGAGCACATGTGGACTCCATTACGAGGATCTGCTGACCAGTGGCCGAGCTTTTAGCGGGTTCAGAGTTCACAGTTGTCCCGAATTAGTGTCTGTCTTTCAGACGGGACCCCTGCTCCAGCTCCGCCCCCTTAATGGTCTTTTCCCGCAACTTCACACATAATATTTTAGATTTATTGACTATTACGAACGCTACCACGCCAGTAGCGGTTCCGTTTAGCAGCGAGAAGGAAAGATCTGACTGAGAGTAATTGGTAAGGATGCCGCCAACGTTTGAGGGCAACTCTTGATTTTTATTGTTTTTAAATTGGAAACGTCACATTAATCAAAGATTCAGAATTAATTTCTTTTTGTCTTTTTTGTTTTTATTTGGAACATGAGGAATATTTGAAGCGTGGCGGTCCACAGCAAAGCCGTGTGTTTGTTTGAAACAGGGAACTTTGTTTGTTTGTTGACTGTTGTTTTTAAATGAAAGGCCTGATATTATCAGACAAATGGAGCCTACAGTGCTCTGGCAGGATTTTGCATTATTTAGAGTTGCTTTAACCAAAAGTTTCGATACTTTTTTTTATACATTAATGTTGATCTCACAACAGGCTGCGCTCGTGTCAGTAAAAGCAACGTGTTGACAAGCTTACTGAAAAGGAATAGTCGATAAAAACAAATAAAGAAGAAGCTGTAGTTTTCCCTGGAAGATCAAGGTATTTTTGTTTCCTTCTCTGAGAGCCGCGATTCTTCAGCAGAGATTGTGCTGATAAAGTTATAATTGGCTTTTAGTTGGAGGAGCTGTTTACTCCACCAGTCATTAAAAGTATCCAAGAATAGCAAATTAGGAGTCTGTTAATTCCGAAAACAAACACCGCACGTCTGAATCGGATTGTTTTTTGATCCTGGCAGTTGATCTCAAACCAATGATGGAAGAATTTTTTGTTTTCATGTATTATTCTTTCTGTGCCGCGTATTCAAGGTGAGCTGCTACAATGCAGCTCACATCTTTATTTTCAGATGCTCCCTCTCACATCACAGCCTAATTCCTTCTATTCTCCTCCTCTCTGCCTCTCGCTACTTTGCTGACACCGCGTACCCGTACGTACCTAGCCTTCGCACATTTGATCATTTGTATTCCCAATCAAGGGGGGGATTTACAGCGTACACTCCTACTTCCTGTATTTCAAGCCTACATTTGGAGGTTTACAAATGAACGAGGGGGTTGAGGCTGCGTCTGCGCGCCTCTCCTGAGATCACCTGGCGCACTTAATCAAACATCGCGGCTTTAATTTGGCGTTCGGTTTCTGACATTTTCCAGAAAACAACATCTACGTCATCATGTAGAGCAGAGCGCGGCCGACACCAGCAGGCAACACTCACACGGAGACACCCGCACGCCGGAGGAACGTTTGTCGTTCACGTGTAGTTTGGGGTAAACTTTCTGCTCAGATTTTGTCCATTTTCACTTCAGAATAAGTCAAGTTTGCTTCACTTAAAGCAAAGCTGCCTACGGTAAAGTCCCTCGCATGCTGTGCTGCAGCTACGTGGTAGCTCAGCGCCGGGAAAGCAGTCGCTCCACCCCGGCTACACGCTGTACTTTACCAGAAACAGTCCTGGAATCTGCACCACATCATAACAAGCTGCAAGCAAAGTATCTGATTTCCTTGTTGTGAGTCTGCATTGTACCGACTGCAAACGTCAGACGGTGCTCATTTAAAGCCTCGTTTTCCAGGTTGTGATTTGTCTTTCTG